CTGCTGTCATGAAGCAGCATCTTTGAAAACAAAGGACAGTAGTACCCGTATACATCACACCAGGACTTCAGCTACGATCAGCCCTTCGACTGCATGTGTAAAAAATGGGTCTGTATGACCCTCACAAAATTGTCCTTTCTGTTTTGGGTTGCTCACTTCCTGTTGAGTCAGAGATTAATTTTATTTGCTCTAGTACAGCGATTTTCAACTGGTATGCCGCAAGAATTTTTAAAACATGCAATACCTGACTATTTAGTCAGGAGCACTGACCTCTTTTCCCTTAGATTGTCAAATTAAAAAATGACAACCAACACAATAGCTGCCTGGTGTGAATGAATCAAAATTATACCTATTTATTTTGTCAGATTGACAAATAATATATTTTTTGGTGTACTGCAGAATTTTAGTATTTACTTTATGTGTGCCATGAGATGAAAAAGGTTGAAAATCGCTGCTCTAGTGAGTCAGCCCTGCCTCATTGCCAGGGTCAAGGAGATTCACAGTTCATGAGTTCCTAAGGCCAATCCCAGGAGTGACCGTCAGGTGGCAGGATCTAGCTAGCTGGTGTTGGTGAGCAATTCCCACTTCCACTCCTCCCCTGTTTCACCCCTAATTAAACTCTTTTGCTAGGAAGAAGCAACTCTGAACATAAATGTCTTGAATATCCTGAATATTCGGGGAGTGGAAACAGAGAGGCTGTAGAAAATGTAGGAAAAGCACTGATTTTAGAGCCAGATAGGTCTGGGTTTTCTTTTCTTGGTCAACAGAAGCAATGTTCTGACACTATATGGCAATGCTTTCATTGTTGTGGCTCTGAAGGTTTTTGTTTAGTTTTTGTGTTGTTGTTTTTAAGCTCTATAAATCATACGTTTATTTTCCACTGTCAAAAGTGCCAACAAGCCCTGACCAGTTTGGCTCAGTGGATAGAGTGTCGGCCTGCGGACTCAAGGGTCCCAGGTTCGATTCCAGTCAGGGGCATGTACCTTGGTTGTGGGCCCCTACCCACTAGGGAGTGTGCAGGAGGCAGCTGATCGATGTTTCTAACTCTCTATCCCTCTCCTTTCCTCTCTGTAAAAAATCAATAAAATATATTTTTTTAAAAAGTGCCAACAAATTGAGTCTGCAATTAGAGAGGACAGAAAACTAGCATAGCTATTGATAAGACAGACACAGTATCAATGATACATGCATGATGATGGAATATATCACCAAGGCCTAGTTTTTAGGTTGTGCATAGAAACAGCAAGGAAAAAAAAGACAATCCAAGTTCTCTTTTGTGGAGATTGTGTTGTTGAGATTTATTTTTAAAATTTATTTTATCAGTTAATTCCACAAACCTAGGAAACATCTTCATTCCCTATACCCATTTCATTTCATTTGTTTATTCCTTCATTTTGTTTATTAGTTTACTCAACCAGTATATACTATCTTCAGAACCCTTTGGCTGGATACGCTGATTTTTATTTTGTGAGTTTTTTTATAGGATTAACAAGATTTCCAAAAAGACTTGATTTTAATACCATAAAAAAATATAGCCCCATGAGTGAAAATATCAAATAATTAAGAAATACACATGGCCAGTTTTTAAAATAGCCATGGGGATGTCAAGTAAGCATAGGGAATATAGTCAATAGCATTGTAATAACTATGTATGGTGTCAAATGGGTACTAGGCTTATGGAGAGACCACTTTGTAAGATATATAAATGTCTAATCACTATGTGGTACACCAGAACTAATATAATATTACTAGTGGCCCAGTGCATGAAATTCGTGCACATTAAAAGAGAATTAATTAGAGGAAATATTTTAATATTGCTATTTGCCCTTTCTCTATAATAGAAGTGTCAGAGATGAAAGAAAATTAGTAAAATGTATATGAAAATCTTCCTCCTGTCAGAGTCTGGGGTGCACCATGGGACCCAGAGTCAAATCCCTACCCACCCACGTGTGCCTCAAAATCACGCTAGACCCAGACCTGGCCAGCCTCCCCCCCCAATTGAGCTAGATCCAGACCCGGCCGGTCCCACCCTTGTCAAGCCCCGCTGGGCAGGCAGCACAGCCTCAGGTCCCCTGGCCTGGCCCTGGGGTAGGGAGTGCGGCCTGAGGTCCCCCAGCCTGGGCCAAGGCGGGGGGCACACCTTGAGATCCCTCATCAAGCCCCACCAGGTGGGGGAAGTGGCCTGACTGAGATCCCCTGTCAAGCCCAGCACCAGGAGGGGGGCGCGGCCTGAGGTTCCCCGTCAAGCCCCGCTGGGTGGGGGTGTGGCCTGAGGTCCCCTGTAAAACCCCACCTGGGGGTAGGGCACAGCCTCAGGTCCCTGCTGATTGCTCATTAAGGCTCGTTATGGGAACTCGGCCTCCACCGTGGGTGCAGCCATCTTGTGTTACGGAATCCCGGCCTCCGCTGTGGGTGCAGCCATCTTTGTGGCGAAATGATGGTCAATTTGCATATTCCCTCTTTATTATATAGGATTGTTATTTGAGAACTAAGAAATTGTGATTCTTGCCTTAGCCAGTTTGGCTCAGTGGATAGAGCATCAGCCCAGACTGAAGGGTCTAGGTTCCATTCCCGTCATGGGCATTTACCTGGGTTGCAGGCTCCTCCCCAGCCTGGGCCCTTGTCGGGGCACATGCAGGAGGCAATCAATCGATGTGTTTCTCTGACATCAGTATTTCTCTCTGTCTTTCCCTCTCTCTTCCACTCTCTCTAAAAATCAATGGAAAAATATCTTCTGTTGAGGCTTAGGAAAAAAAAAGTACCTAAAAACTATGTTTTCCTCTAGAACATTATTCCCTAAAGTAAAAATGGCTTTGTTTGAGCAGTTTACTTAATGGGGAAAAAATAAAATTAATTCAAAATTGTCCCCCAAGGGCTAAAAAAACTGCTATCATGTTTAGTATATCCCCTTTTAGACATGCACACATTTCCTTTATTCTGTTTTCTCTAGATTTAATTTACTATTTTAGGTTCTTAATTTGGATGCAAAACATGTAAATTTTTTGAGTTTTATTCCTAAAGTTCAAAATGGGTACACATGTTTACTGGGGATGTGCCCGCAACCAAGGTACATGCCCTTGACCGGAATCGAACCTGGGACCCTTGAGTCCGAAGGCCGATGCTCTATCCACTGAGCCAAACCAGTTAGGGCCATTAGAGTACTTTAAACTCGTTTGTACTATGGCTGATTACATAGCATGTGGTACAATACTGAGACATTGTCGAAAATCGCCTCCAAGAAGGAGAACTTTCTCACCAAATGCAACATTCAAATTCATAATTTCTCTTAGTAATGGCATTTATAGCATGTCTGGATACCATGGTGCATTCATCAATAATGAGACATTGGGCCTTTTTAATGGTTTTAGCAACTTCACTCTATATCGAGTCTAGAAATTGAAGGTTCATTTAATGGAATTGGTAATTTATATTGGGAATGAAAGGTTCTTCCACCAAGAAGTAAATTTGCAGCAACTCCTATAGACGCTATGAGTAAAACAGTACCACCACGACCTCTAATATAATGTATTAAAACTTTATAAAGGTATGTTTTTCCACTACCACCTGGACCACCCAAGAAAAAGCATTTGGGGTGTACAGTTTGATCTTTGATGGCTGAAGTTATAGTCTGAAAGGTTGCCAACTGTTCATCATTCAGAGAATTTATCAAAACCCCTGCCTGTCACCCTAACCGGTTTGGCTCAGTGGATAGAGGGTCAGCCTGCACACTGAAAGATCCCAAGTTCGATTCCGGTCAGGGGCATGTACCTTGGTTGCAGGCACATCCCCAGTAGGAGGTGTGCAGGAGGCAGCTGATTGATGTTTCTCTCTCATCAATGTTTCTAGCTCTCTATCCCTCTCCCTTCATCTCAGTAAAAAATCAATAAAATATGTTTTTTAAAAAACCTCTGCTTGTTGTCACTCATATGATTCATCACATGTATTTGTATTCATTAATAAAAGATAGTCCAGAAGTTTGAAATGTGAACATTTCATTCCATGTAATGTGAATACCTCTTGAATTTCATTATGTGCATGCATTACACAGTTTATACAGGCACCTTCACTTCGGTGTAATTTCCAACAAGAATCTTCAATAAAATGAGATTTATTCTCATCCCATAATTTGTCTGCATCAGAAGGACATCCAAACACACATATGTATGCAAAAAGTCCCTGCGCCCATCCCCGCCCACTAGCTCTTGCCTGCATGTGCCTCCGTCGGGAGTGGCCTCCACCTCCGAGGCAGTGCGATGTTAGCGCTGGGCAGGCCTGCACACCCCTCTGCTGGGGGCAGAAGTCCCCGCCCCCGTCCCAGCCCATGAGCTCCTCTGTGCACATAGCCCATTGACCCGTCATGACTGGGACACTGTTAGGACCAATTAACATATTACCTCTTTATATATATAGATACGTCAACTGTAATTGGAAAAAAAATACTTAATTTAAAAAAAATAGACTCATGAAAGGAAAGGCTAACCCTAAATGTTACTCTACCCTTCTTCCACACCTTCCTCAATTTCCAGATGTCAAGAATTAAAACCAGTTCATAAACTCTCATTGGCATATCCTGTCTGTACAAACTTTTGGGAATCAGAGTCTCCAGGGAACCAAACACTCTCCAAAGATCACATGACTAGAAAATTTCCTCAAGAGACAGACAACTGCAGTTTCATTTAGATCTGCCTTTTCTCCCTTTTCACACCCTGACCATACAGGACACATACACCTGGACATCCAGCCCGTCAGTCTCTGCCCTGAGTCATTGTACTGGCTACAGCACCGTCTCTCTATAAGAGAAAAGCTCTTGCTTTCAGAGAAGATCATGTTTGCAAACTTTTAACTCTTGGGGAGGCAGTGATGAGAAAAGTTGTAAGCAGAGAAGTGGGGAGGAAAGAGTAGGCTGTAGAGTTGAGGAAATATCAGCTTGCCATTCTCAACACCTCTCTCTGATGCCCATTTCTTACCTTCCTTTCTCCTACCTCTTGGTTTCTCTCCAGGTACCTCCAAGGTAGTGATGGCTCTCCTGAAGACCCTTTCATCGCTTCTGCTCTTGCTGCTGACCCTGCTGGGGCTGGGGCTGGTGCAGCCCTCCTATGGCCAGTCCATGTACCAGCGATTCCTGCGGCAACATGTGGATCCTACAGTGACAGGTGGCGACGTTAAATACTGTAACTTGATGATGCAAAGACGGAGGATGACTCAGTTCCGTTGCAAGCAATTCAACACCTTCATCCATGAAGACATCTGGAACATTCGTAGCATCTGCAGCACCACCAACATCCAGTGCAAGAATGGCAAGATGAACTGCCATGAGGGTGTAGTGAGTGTTACAGATTGCAGAGATACAGGAAGTTCCCCAGCCCCCAACTGCAGATATGGGGCCAGGGCCAGCACTAGGCGTGTTGTCATTGCCTGTGAGGGTAACCCCCCAGTGCCTGTGCACTTTGACAGATAGATACTATCCTGAAGGGGTTATGGCCCTGTGGTTGGCCTTTAACTTACTCCTTGAATAGCAATGACTAGTGCATTTGAGCTGTCTCAGGTTCTGTCTTCTCTGGTTATGTCTACTTCTTTTTCTCTATATAACCAATTCTCTTAAATGTATCAAAGAGAAATGGAGGCATAAACCTAATTTGGGTGTGGGCTTTTCTATAATAAACTTTTCAGTAAATTCTTCTGCTTCCTTTTATAATACTGGTCAGCTTAACCCTCTCAACATCCTATCCTCTGGAATGTAATCATTATATGTATGATATAGCATTTCAAGTATTTTAAGGTGCTTCCATCTCAGTTATCTCATTTTAATACCATCACACCCTGTAATGTTGATGTTGATACATATAGGGCCCAAAATTAAAGGATTTGCTGAAGAACATGAAGTTAGTGGAAAAGCTGAAGCAAAATAATCCACTTCAACTGGCTACTAATCCAGGACTTTTTCTACTTCATCACAAGGAGTGTTTTGAAAGTATCTGCTTTCTGGTATTCCCAGCAGTCAGCTGTTGGGGGAAGCATTAAAAATTTGGAAATATGAACTGGCAAAATGAGAGCTCTGTCTGTAATTTGGCAACCTTGTTATGTTTGGGTCTAATAAGATTATGATACAAAGAATATTTTTTCTCTTCCCAAACTTTTCTATCACTGTAGCAAGTCAGAGTATTAACAATGCACTAGACTAGATCATTAAGACTCATTCACTCTTCCTGACTGGAAAGATTTTTCATGTTTTCCGTTTAATAAAGAACTCAAGCCCAGCCAGCATGGCTCAGTGGTTGAGCCTCGACCTATGAGCCAGGAGATCAACAGTTCAATTCCAGGTCAGGGCACATGCCCGGTTGCAGGCCAGTCCCCCTTGTGGGGCATGCAGGAGGCAACCAATCAGTGATTCTCTCTCATCATTGATGTTTCTATTGCTCTTCCTCTCTGAAATCAATTAAAATATATTTTAAACAAAAACTTAAACTACAGATATCTGTGAAGATGGTGCTATTGTTCTTGTGTAGGATTTTTTTTTCTTCTACCCTCTTATTTTCTAGTTTATAAACATGCACCAACACCTTAATACCCTCAAAAACTGGTCCATGAAAAAAAGCCTATAGGATCTATGACCAGGACACAGAAACATCTGTGTTTTTACTAAAGACTATTCTCACACCACTCCCTTCTCCCTTTGAATGTTTTGAAACAAATTGGGGAACAGAGATGTATGAAGACACCAGCAGCTAAAGAAGGGAAGTATGTATCTAAGAGTGTGTGCGCGCACATGTGTATATGTGTGTGCGTTTGCGTGTGTGTGTGTGTGTGTGAAAGGATTAAACTGAAAATACTTAAATTATAGCAGATATACATTGTTTATATTTAAGGTGTGCAACCTGATTCAGTATACATATGCATTGTGAAAGAATCACTACAATCAAGCTAATGTGACTCCATTTTGGACTGTTTTCACCTCCATTCTTTTCAACACTACTGAACATCGTAGCTTAGCCCAGCCAGTTTCTACTGAATGCATATTGCTTTCACACCATTGTAAAGTCAAAAAAATCATAAGCATGAAAAATCATGAATAAAAGTATGTGTCATGTTTGTTACGCCATGACACCAACAAAAACTTACTAAATAACCAAATTTCACTTTCAGCCTTTTCCAGAGATGGAATTATAAACCACTTAATTTGGAATTTCCTGATCAGCACTGGTAAGGTAATCTGCCTGATATGACCCCCTGCCTTCCCCTGAATGAAGGTCTCCTGCTTAAAATAATCCAGTCTTTAAGTACATAGTCCCACTGTCTTTCTGCCTATAAAAACCTTCCATTTTGTACAACTCACCAAAGCACCTTTCTAGTTGCTAGATGGCATGCTGCCCAATTCCTGAATTGCTTAATACAGCCAATTAGATCTTCAAACTTACTTGGTTGAATTTTGTTCTTTAACTCCTGCCCCCAGGGCCTTGCCATTCGTTTGTACCTAGAGGACTGTCTTTGATGTATGACCCCTTTGCTCCAGGCTCTTCTCAGAGTGACCCCCAGTGTTCTAGATGAGGAGATAAACAGGTGCACAGAGTAAGGCTGTCCCCTCTTCCTCCACCACTGCCAATCAGTTGGAACACTGCACCTCCCACATCTATTCCTTTCTTCACTGCCTCAGACTTCTTAGCTCTAAGAAAAGGGAAAGGACACTGACTCTGCTCTTTAGATTCACACACTAATCCCCACGGACCTGTGAAGGTGAGTATGGAATCTGAATAGGGCAAGTTAGAGTTAGAAGGGTTGGTATTGAGCATGGCTGGGGGAAAGGCCCAGGAACACTGGAAGGGGCTTGCTTGACCTTCTAGGTGGTAGAGTTGAGAATGCAGTAATCCAATTTGTAAGAAGCAAAGACCTGAATTTAACTCAGTATTAATCTTACTAATTCACACCTCCCTTCCTCCCCAATATTTTCAAGCATAATACATTGAAGCAGCTTAAATCTTGGTCTTCTCATCCTGTTTAGGCCTTTTGAACTAGGGATAGGTTGGCACCAATGAGAACCTGCCTATCCTTTGTTCTGTGCTTGATAGAGGACTAGAGATCCCCAAAAGTGCTGTCACACAAATCCCATTAGACTCTCACAGGTCATAAGGGAGCTACTATTAAGCTCATTTGAGGACACCAATTCTGAGATACTGAGAATCAGGTTAGAGTTTCTGTAGGGCCAGGATAACTCCTTGTGCTAACTGAGGACAGGGAGCTGGTTTAAAGGGGAAACTTTTTCAAACATCTCTAGGCCCTGATTTTGACCAGAGTAGCTCCTGTGAGGGCAGTTTTGATCTTGGTATTTGGTTGCTTAGAACACTGTTTCAAAACTGCATTTTCTTTATGATGGTATTCTTAATGGCAAATCAAGATCATTCAGCATGATTTAGGAAAATGGCCTCAGAGAAGGCAAGTGGGCAGTCAAATGTACTACCATGTTTCAGGCAGGCATTGGGGAAGTGTTATGAGGAAGTCAAGATGAGATAAGCACCACTTGCAGTCAGTTTTAATTGCAGCCTGGGATTTCAGGGAGCCAAAGCTTCCTGCTTGGAAAATGTTTCCCAAGTCTACTCATCTTCTACATTCCCTTAAAGCAGTGGTTCTCAACCTGTGGGTCGCGACCCCTTTGGGGGTCGAACGACCCTTTCATGTGGGTCGCCTAAGACCATCGGAAAACACATACATAATTACATATTGTTTTTGTGATTAATCACTATGCTTTAATTATGTTCAATTTGTAACAATGAAATTGGGGGTCACCACAACATGAGGAACTGTATTAAAGGGTCGCAGCATTAGGAAGGTTGAGAACCACTGCCTTAAAGGGTGACAATCTTTTCTACTTCACAGACATAAAATTTAAAATAACATTCTCTTTCAGACACACTTTCTTATGAGTACCCATCTGGACTGTAAAACAGAGCTAGCTAGAATGCTCCTTGTTTTGGGTGAAGAGGTGTTTAGAATTCTCAAAATAAACATCTATTTTCTACAATTTTGTGCTTGTCTCACTCAAGCTCTAGCATATTTTCAGTTCTTGAAAATGTTATTATCTAATGAGATTTATCATCTTCTAGTTTGGAACCAAATGGTAAAATTGAGCCTAAATATCTACAATGGAATTTTAAGGTGGAGCTCAGCTCAGGGCAGTGTTGCAATTATGTTTTCCTCTCTTATGTAGACCCACAGGTGATCCTGGTGACTGAGATGTCCTCCTCTCTGAAGGTCCCAGGTCCTCTCTTGCTGCTGCTGTTCCCCTTATGTGGGCTCCATGTACACAGCCAGAACCTTTCCTGGAGGGAATTCATGAAACAGCACCACCTGAGCACAAGCTGGGAATTCAATGAGTACAGATGCAATGATCTCATGAGAGAAAGAGAAGCTCCGAAAGACAGGAATGACATCTTCATCACCTCTTCATCTATATCTCTTGGCACAAAATCAAGCACATATGCATCAGAAACTGGAGAGATCACTACAGAAATGTATATATATGGGCCCAGTATCCCTTCAAAATAATCAAGTGTTACCAGGGGAATAACAAAAAGGGCTACAAAGAGCACAGGAGTTACAGCTACATTGAATTCCATTGTGGCATGAACGGGTTTGTTGATAGCATAGAGGACATCCGGCTGTTAGAGGTTATCAGTAGCCTCTAACCACATGCCCTGGTTTTAGTAGAGTGATGAGTGTTTCCCAAGTGGTGGGCCCTGCCCACATGAATAGCCCTTACTAATCACTACTTTGCATTTATGTGCCAATGTTTTCCAACCACTTAGAGTAATGTATCACATGGTTTCTTAATATTATAACTTTACCTATGTTGGTTCTCTGCCTGGAATTCCTTTCTGTTGTCATTTACCTGCTCTACTATTATATATATATACTTTTATATATATTATTATTATCTACACTAATAAAAGAGAAACATGGTAATTAGCATACGACCGCTACCCTTTTCGGCCCAATGCACAAAATTCTTGCAAGGGGCTCGGCCCTCGCAGCCTCGGCTTTGTCCAGAAGGTTGGCCGGCCATCTGGTCTAATTAGAATATTATGCTTTTATTATTATCAATAATAATAATAGTATATATAATAATATATATACTGAATCATATGCTGAATCATATATGCATATATATCCTATATAATAAAGAGGTAATATGCAAATTGACCCCCACACCCTCACATCACAAGATGGCCGCCCCCACATTGTCACAAGATGGCCGGCAGGGGAGGGCAGTTGGGGGGGACCAGGCCTGCAGGGGAGGGCCGTTGGGGGCGATCGGGCTGGCAGGGGAGCAGTTAGGTATCAATCAGGCCAGCAAGGGAATGGTTAGGGGGTGATCAAGCTGGAGGCAGAAGTGGTTACAGGCAATCAGGCAGGCAGGCAGGCGAGTGGTTAGGTGCCAGCGAGTGGTTAGGTGCCAACAGTCCCAGATTGTGAGAGGGATTTCCTAAACTGGCAGTCAGACATCCCCTGAGGGGTCCCAGATTGGAGAGGGTGCAGGCTGGACTGAGGGACAACGCCCCCCACCCAGTGCACAAATTTCATGTACCAGATATATATATATCTACACTAATAAAAGAGAAACATGGTAATTGGCGTACGACCGCTACCCTTCCCATTGGCTAATCAGCATATCCTTATGCAAATTAACTGTCAGCCAAGATGGCGGCC